CGCTATCATTACTTAGCTAACTGCTAGGGTTTTTTTTTTCCAAAACAAAACAGGCTTAAGCGAAAGTAGGATTGCAACAAATTATTGCGTCAGTTTCGAAGGTGTAACAGGCAATTTGATCATTCATATTTCATTTCCTTCGAATTCGCTTAACCGTAGCATAGAATTCCATCACTAATGTACGCATGACATGCGAAAAATTGGTATGACTGGAAACTAGTAGCCAGTTAAACAAACCGGACGACTTGACAGCAGAAAAAGTCCTGTTAACAGGTCATTCCGCTCTTAGCACGTAGTGTCCGTTTGGCTTCGTGCTAACTTCTGCTGACTTTACGAAATTTTTAGTTAGCGACGAAAATATTTTTTGCGGCTCAGATTTTTTTTTTTTGAGATGAAAAAGCAGTTTGGGTATTGTGGTGTCAGTTTTGAATTACTGTGTAAGTTTTACGGAATTTTTTATTGAGATTTTGGTGGTGTGATTGTTTCAGATATTCTGACAAAGATGTAAACGCTGAAATTTTGAAGTCCTACGCAGGAACCAGTGATTCTCTTCCCGCATTGGTGTTGGTGAATCACGAAAAGGTTTGTTAAATAGTTGTGTTGTTTGAATAGAGATATTTCTATCGAAGTATTTAAGGCAATCTGTGTTTGCTTTGGTTCTACTGCACCTTGTGATTCGTCGAAAGAAACCGCTCCATCCTTTCAAACAATCAGACGCAAAACGAAAACCAACCACCACTTGGTCACCCGCGTTTTCGCGCGCTTCAAGAAATTCTGGCTTCTCATGGGCTAATGATGATGTTAACCTTTGCTTTGATTGGTCGTTGTAGTCAGTTTTCCACACTAACTTGAAAACTCCTGTATTGACACCCACACCAGTGGTATGAGTAAAGGGTCAATTGTTGACCTCATACCGGCAGGAACTTTTCTAAATTTACCATTAATTTTTTTTTCAATTTTTTATTTAATTTTCATCTATTCGATTGTTCTTAAAGGGAACGGTGCATCTCTTCAAAAACGAAGTTACAAAACAAGCAGTAAAAAACTGGGTGGAAAGCATTCTTACCGGAAAGGAGCAACCCTCTCGTAAGTGCTACAACATTTCCATGAAATTTCCCTCTTTAACTAATCGCCTCTGGTATTTCGTTTCCAAGTAAGATGACTACTAGCGAGGCGTTCCGGCTGAACTGAGAAATTTCTAAAGGTTTTATTTATTTTTTTTACATCAAACTCTGTACGTTTTTTGTTTGTTTCTTTTTGTTTTGCTGAACATCCTGGATTCGATTTTCTTTTCCGTCATCGCACACTTAACCGCTGCCTTGTTAGCTCAGGTGGTGGAGTGTCCCGGACTACCGTGCAAGAGGCCGAGAGTTCAACCCTCAGACAAGACCAACGCTCAGGGTCTTAAAGTAACTGATGAGAATGTGCTGCCTTTGCTATGACATCGACAAATGGCTGGGCATTTTAGTCTTCTCGAATAAGGACGATACACCGTAGTAGGCCCCTTCTCCTGCATCCTCTCGGGGCTGGTTACTAGGGACGTTAAAATACCCACGTACCTCTGGCAAAGAATAGGGAGCGTGGTTCCCGGTTTTTTGCGATCTGGCTTTGTTAATGTTTGTACGGGCCGCCATTACTATCAGCTTAAAGCTAATTTGGGTCTGCCTGTCTAAATATGGCAAATAGATAAGTGAAATAAGTAAATAAATCACTTGCGCGCTTCAGCGAAGTTAAATTTACGTTTTAACCACAGGGCTCTTCGCCGATGGTGAGTGGAAACCGCGTTTGGAGGGATACGATTTCCTCCGAATGATAGACGAAGAGGAAGAGGAAAAAGAAAGACAACGATTGAAAAAAAAGAAAGTAGAACGAGCTCTCAAAGAGAAGGACGATATCGACGAAGAGGAACCAAATTGGTCACCACCGGAAGAAAACGAGGTTGAAAAGCGTGACCGGAAGCCAAACCGCCTAAGACGACCGGAATTAAGGATTACACGTCGGGATGAACTCTGATCAGATGTTTGAATGGAGATTATTTTAATTGATTTTTGCATTCAGAAGTTTTACCTACTTATGCAGCTGGAGGCAAGCAGTTACAGATCAACTTCCGGTTGATTTTAAGTACTGTCGTCTACTTGAATAAAAATTTGTAACGGTCAAATGCTTAATTTAATTTTACAGAATACGAATTCGAGATATAAATATTCCGTCTATCATTTCTGTCAACTTAAATGTAGAAAACCTGTACAAATGAATGAATAAATATCCTCTTCTTGTGAGATTCTTAAGGGTTCCCTGTATCGAGAGGTACGTAAAGTCTAACTCTTTACACCCTAACATCAGTCTGTATATTCTCCATACTGATCTCAATACATTTCCTAAGGTGCTGACAGGGAGAATTTGTTTAACAATCAAGAGCTTCTTTAGATGGTGATCATTTCCTTATTCTCATGATCTCAAATGAATGGTTCAGTAATAGTGTTGTAAGGAGAGACTAGATGCTGGTCACTCTGGGTTGAAAGGGTACTCGGTGGGTTACGCACTCCATTGCGAAAACGTCGACACTTTAAAAAAAACATAAAAAATAAGAGAAAATAGCGCTATGGTTACACATGTCTTGAAAATATCTATTATTCGGCAAAACTACTATGCTTACCCAGCTTCACACCAAAGCGGAAAAAATGAAAACAAATAAAAATGAAAAAAAAAAAAAGAAAAAAATTGGATGAAACATTAAATCCCAAATTCTTATCTTAATTTATGAAAATTTCAGGTTCTTTTGATACTGCTGTTGATAATAAATTAGATATTCAATATCGTTTTAATAGTAGAACTTAGTCCAGTTTTTTTCCACAAAACATTGAAGAAGTATATATGGGGTGTTGTACAAGGAACTGGGGTGAACTCAGATTTCGCAGCGTGACAGGGACAGGGAATTAAAGCGCGGAAACAGTCATGTGGTTGTTATCCAAACAAATTATGTTTATTAGTGAACGAGTAAACAAGCACCGTTCATTTCCGATTGTTCCAACCGTCCTGAATTCGTAACCGCAAAAGATAGGATTAGGTGCAAATTGCTTTAAGGAAAAGATCACGACTGTGTTCTGTTGTCTTCCCATGACTTCAATTATTTTGTACTTCTTCTAAAGTCCATCGTGCCTAAAGTTTAGTTTTAAATTTCCATTTTACACTGAGTGGCTGCACATAGGAAATCTATGCGTCCCTGCGAAGTCACTCGTGACGGATCTGACAAGTTAGTCTATTTCTTTAGGCCACCTTCAGAGAACGTCTCCCATTTACCACCTCCGCCCCTCCCTCAACTCCCTTCCCCCCCCCCCCCCCCCTTCGCTGCCTCTCGCTTAAAAGCGAGATAGCTGCAAGTCTAAATTGACGGCTCAGTAACATCAAGGGTTAGAATGTTAAATTTCAATATTTTTTTAGGGACCTCGCGTGGTTAATTTTTTGTTTTTCATTCGTTGGTGGTTTTGCATTTAATTGTCTTCTTCGGTAACTAGCACTTAAAGCGACAAAAGACAGGAAACAAAATTTGCGTCTATTATCAATATTACGAGGCGAAAAAGTTCGTTTTAATTAGCATACAAAACTGATCTTGTCGTCAAAACAATCGTTGCCTCATTTAAAATTTAAATAGAGACCACTGATAAAGAGAAATGCCGGATTGAAATGACTGTCGTGAGTTTCTCCGGACCTGATTTTAATCCAGTTAACTTTCAAGCGGAAGTTCTCTTGTTGTCGAAATTATGTACAACACATGACACATTTTTTTCAACGTGCGAGGTGGTGAAAAGATAAAAGCTTACTTTAAATTTCCAAAGTGGTTTTGTATCAAGGTTTAAGCTGAAGCACAAAGCAGAGCTTGAGCAATATTTGCCATTTGCTTGTCACGCAAAATCTGTTCACCATGCCTCGAGGGTGACGACTAATTGATTAACCGCGGAAATCTGTTTGTGTTAAGAAGAACCGTGGGAAAAATCACTCGTACTTCGAGGAAGCTTCAAGCTGAAAATCAATCCGATAGAACAACGGACTCCATTAGTAAAACTTCTAAAGATAAGAATAGCATGCGTGCTCTAAATGATTCAGACAATGCCCAAACAAAACCTTTCAAATATTGCTTAATAATTTTTCAAAGCAACGATCGCCGTCAGAAATAGGTCAGTCTCAAATCTTAATCTTTGGCACACTAGAAAGTAAAACTCTTCAGTGCTGATATAACGGTTTAATTCCGTCTAAGAATGCAAAATTCCCAAGGAATTTTGTTTTTCACTTCTCAAGTGAAATGCAAATTACAGTTTCCGCCGTGCTGAACTCCCTGGGGGTTTTCGCTTCTCGGTCGTCACACAATCACATTTTTCCACCAATCAGAAGCGAGAATCTCGGATGTGCCCGAGCCTGTCCTGTCAAAACAGAGCTCTTTTCATTCAGAAAAGCAATTTTCCATAACGGCTTCCGCTAACTGTAGAGAGCAAGGACTTCGCCGTAAAATGTGCCTATTGGGCTTGCAGAGAGCCAGAATTTTCCATCATTCATTGTGGTACGGCGAGCTCTGCGTTTGTTTTATTTGGACGACTTTGTGCGGGGTTTAATCACATATCCTAAAGCATGTGTATTATACTGGATTTCGTTATTGGTTAATTAATCTTTGACCACTCAAGCATCACACTAACCAGAACGTGTTGTTCGGCGGTCGAGGAACGCGTCGAAAAGCGTGGAACAGTCCGGTTCGGAAATGGAGCGACATTTTTTGGTAAGTTACACATTGAATGTTTTACCTCTCCATTAAAAGCAGATTACTTTTGTTATTTGCATACAATTTGCCAAAGAAATCGAAAATTCCTACTTAATATGCGGAAAGCTTCACGCGCTAAAAAGCGCAGTGTGATTTTGCGGTGAAAAATGCTCGTTGTTCGCGGAAGAATGAAAGATAGTTTTAAGTAACTTTTGCCGTTTGTTGTTGCTAAATTGACTTCCAAAATCATTCCTTCTCAACTCACGCAATCTGAGATTTTGGAAGAATAATGTCAGGGTCAGAAGAGTGAGTAATATACAAGCTGTATCGTTAACATAGTTAACAACATATACACGAGATTTAACATTGTTGTTATAAACTTTTCGTTCGACCTGTGTCGGATATCGGTCGGCCGGAAAAAATAGTCATAACATAAATAGATTCTGTTACTTCCTTTGACTAAAACAGAAACACTCTTTTGTTGTTTGACGAAGATCTTCACCGAGGTTAAACTATTCCATTCGACTGAATCTATTTTGAAAGAGAAAAATTTCATTAGTCAGCAGTTTTGAGAGAGGTTCTGAATTCGATTTCTCGGAGACGTTACAAAGCGCTTTGTGAATCCAAAATGATCGCATATAAACCTGTTTTGATGTCTTTGTTGTGGTAAATCTTATGCAGCAGTAAGACTTAAGGAAGTTTGTCATCTTTTCGTGGTAAATATAAAGTATTAGTGGCGTGCTGTGCCATGTGATACGTGAAGTTTCGATGTACCCCGAAGCAACGCGAAATATCTCCAGTTGCTGTTGAAATAGATCGACCCTTGTCGAAATGTTATCGGTTAAAATAGATTATTATAAGGGCAATGGATGATTCATCAATTTGTCTAATGTTTTCCATCAAATATCATGGATAGATTTTGAAATTATATGCATGCTTCTTTATTCGAGCGATCGGGCGAAAGTTTTTTTCGATAACTGAACATATATATCATTCGTTTATTTTTTTAAATGGCCTCGAGATCGTAATAACAGCGAATTACTTAAAAATTAGGATCAAGGTTATCAGCTACGCTAAGAGAGAGGACAGACAATAAATCAGTCCTTTAGAAACTAAAAATATCTTCTATCCAAAGTGAATGATGCAAGTGTCATCTGGTGCAATGCATTTGGTTAAGTGCTGTCTTTACTGAAGAAATATCGCTTTTATTTTCATCCATCGAAGGTTAGAGTTGTCCGAACTCTTCGCAAGTAATTTCCTATGGTTGCATCAGAAATCGTTTAACTATTTGCTAATGATATAACAAAAGAGGTAACTCGACAGTGACAAAACACTCATTTCGCCCCGCTGTTTCTGTCGGTTGGAGAAGAATACAAAAATTGTTTACCTGTCCGGACGCATTTGTGGTTATTTTCAATGACAACATCTTCGAAGCCATATTTTTCTTTCGTATGAAGCGCAATCGCTCGATCTGTAGCTATGTATTATGCAGATTAACTGTAGTTATTTGATATAATCTTAAAAACATGCCTCCAGTTAGCAGACTTACAGAATACGAATAATTTTCGATAATCTTTCTCAAGTTATGAAAAAGAAAGTTCAAGAGGTGAAGTTTTCTCTGCCCGAGTGTAACATTTCAGCGCTGAAAATGATACACGAAATAGTTTAATTTCGAGGGCTATGTTTCGGTCGTTATCAACATCAGTTGCCCTCGACTGATAGTCGGAATGATGTCTGAATGATGTCTGAAAAAAGAAAAGACAATTTCGTTCCTTGCTTCCGGATTTGTTTTCGAGGAAAACAAACGTACTTTTTTCCGCTAATTCTAGTTAACCTTAGGTAATGATTTCGATGGCAAGTGAATTTTCTCTGAATAGTTTATAAGTGATATGAAATTTCAGCGAGTCAATCCAATTTGGAGATGTGTCGATTCCACGTGAGTACAATTCTCATGAACTCTAAGAAGCAACCGTTATTTCATTTCTTTGGAGATAAGGCGTTGAAACAGGTTGGATGTAGAGCTCTTTTGATTTCTTCTAAATTTACACTCACAAATGGATACTAACGACATTTTCTCCCAATTTGTTTTCGAGAGTAAAAGTTTGTTTCCATTTTGCGAAAACTTTGCCGTCGCGAAAATATCCTAATTTCATTTATGGCGTCTGATACATTGTCTTAACCTTGCACTGACTGAAATAGATCGTAAAATTCAGCGAAAACAAGCAGTCATAAAGCGTATTCTTAAACTTGGAAAATGATGATTTGTCTGGATAAATTTTAGAACAGTTTACTAGTAACCGTCCTGTTTGTTCTCATCATATTTATGGTCTTGGCTTAAAGCATAATATTCTGCTTGATATCCTGCCATGTCCAAACATCCCAAATGGATACCGGGATAAGGTAATTTGTTTTGCAGTGACAGTATATCGTTTAAAATATTGGATGAATTCAGATGTTCTGATCTTCGTTTCAGTCGAAAGAAAAGCGCAAACGACAGCTTGGAAAGACAAATGACATCATATAAGTTTCAATGTAGTTATTGTGCTTTTTCAGTGGTAAAATCCCCCGTTTTAATTTGTGGGTGAAGGTTTAGCCGCAACATTATACTTGAGGTTTCCATTTGACGGTGACAGCACATTTATAAGGAAATTTTGAATTGTCAAATTGGACTTAGAATGACTAAAATTTAATTCCAAGATAGGAACATTTTGCAATCATCGTATTGCATCTAAACCCTAAATATATTTAATTTTATATATTTCACGTTATTCTTTAGGATTCGGTGAAAGAATATTTCAAGTTTGTAGTTTTAAACTTTCAATGAATATGCAATCATTCCATGGTGTATGAATATTACGAAACCTTTTTAGTTGTTATTTGAAACTCCACGGCGAGGCAATCAAACAAAGGTCTGATAATTCATTCGCAGAAACGACTGGTATATTTAGACGCTCATTCTTAATCTTTACACCATATTTTTTTGGCATGTACTTGAGCCAATTACTACATTTTTTAAAGATTTATTCAGCGGGCAACATTTAGTGAAAGTTATAATTTCCAGCGAGCCCGAGCACATCTTCTGAGTCGCGCGCTCAGATTTGTTTATTTGGGACCGATTCGGAAACATTTATGATCCAGCATTGTTACATCACTGTGGTTTTAAGTACATAAGTAAACATTGTGTCCCTGTTTTAAGGCTTTTAAGTGTTTGTTTTTATTCGAATTAGGCTAAAGTAAATTAGTTTTGATCAGGAGAAACTAGCACAGTTTAAATCCTTTCTTTTCAAGTCCAGAATTTTTAAGTTGTCGTCTGCTAATGGTAAAGTTTTTGGGAAGAAAATTAAAACCAAAATTTGAAAAGTAGACAAAGGCAAGATGACGAATTGCGGTAATTTTGCGTCGAGTTATACAAAAAAATGTGCAAATGGTCTTTGAAAATCACGGAGGCACTTCGATGATGAATAATCATTTCAATTGGAACTTTTGGCGCGCTATGAAAAAAACCTCGCTCTTCGTGTCTCTGAACGGGTAGTTTTACACTTAAATGATCGACCGGTAGGATAAAATACTTGTGAAGACTAAATTTATTAATTGTAGAAATAAAGCCATTCGCTTCTGCGCTATCGTATACTTTTTTCAGCCGCGTTGCCTCACTAAGACCAGAATATTTCAACAATTATAACTGTACTGGTAGAAAGCAAATCGCTTCGTTAGTTCATTTTTTCTTTAAGATGGTTACGTTTTGCTAAATTTAGCATTGGGTTGCAGTTATAATTACATATTTTGATAGATTTTTACAAATAAAATTAGATCCTATGTCCATCATGAGTCAAACGAGAAAAAGGGCATCATGCCAGATCTATTCTCCGCCATGATTGTTCTTCGCATCAAACGCACATTTTTCGATTACGTTCATGCTTTTGATCTGTCTTCTTTAGTCAAAACGGTCAGGCTTTCTTGTCGAGTTGTAATTGAAAACGAAATTTAAATTTTTGTGCGTGTGTTTGCCTCAATTTGAAGAATTTAACTTAAATACGCGGGTGTAGTTTTGTGTTCAGCTTGACATAAGTGTGAAGTGAATAGTGCACAAGCCTCCACATGCCCACGCCTATTGCATAATCAACTTGTTCTTGGTTGGGGCTAGCACTGCATTCGAAATTGAAAACATGAGTCGCCGGCTGAAAGAAACTGGGCTTGATCTTCACCTAATTGCAGTAAGTAAAGATTTTGAAGTTTTCGGACTCTTTCTCAGTATAATTTTGCTCTTCCATATTTCTTCGATTTCGATCTGCGAGAGTCTCTCTCGTCTCCATGAATGCACAATTGAAACGTGTGCTCGTTAATTCGAGATTTGTTCGGCGAAGGACTCGCACAGTCTAAAGAGAGATTGTTTCTTATATCACGAAACTGGAAAAACGAAGAAATACAAATTTCCCACAAGGAAGCGAACTAGAGATCCTTTGTATTTCGCGCTCTTCCAATCTTTCACTGAGCTGTAGAAAACTGAGCTTATTCGATGTGAGGTATATATATGGCGTTCTTCCGATACCCTAAAGCACAAAATGGTGAACGTGACCTTCAGATTGCACTGGGATCGACATCCTAAGAGATTTGTCACAGCCTCTATAGTTATTTAAAGACGTACTTTTTAATCTCAACTTTATTCATCTTCGTTAAACATAGAATTTTCTTTTATTCATTTGAAACGCTAGACGTGGGTGGTCGTGAGGCTAATTCTTTTTAATTCTCTTTAGTTTCTTAAAAGTAATACATCAAACATTACAAGGAAAAGCGGATTTAAGGGAACAATAATTGTTTGGGTGAAGCAACGAAAAATGACTTCAGATTTTAATGAATCAGCGGGGAGGGGAATTTTTTTATATTTGCATGCAGTACGGTAATTGGCCTCTGCAACCACATAATCTCTGGTTTCGTACTAAGTTAATTAGTTAGGTTAAAATATTGAAACATTTTGAAAAAGTTTTCGTCAGTGATTTCAATTTTTATCTCGATCTTTTTTCACTCAATAGAACTCGTCTGGAATATATTCCGTGGCTATAAAATAAACCAAGTTCGTGTTTTTTAATGGAAGGGCAACAATTAGTAAAGTGCATTTTTATTCAAAGCTAAATCGAAATCGATTGAGAACAACAACGAAATCACAGCAAGACGATATTTTTCTCGTCAGTGAGGAAGAAAACAGAAAGAAATCTTTGTCTCCCCTCGAGGAATCGAACTTCATACCGACGAGTTCCGCGATCTGTTGCCTTACAGTGAAACTAAGCTGTAAACGAAATCAACATTTTTGTCGTTACAGACGAACCTTTCATTAAGGGCAGTATACACCAACTCGCCCATTCATACTTTAAAAGACTCCTTCGTGTTGTTAGGATCAGCCATCGAAAACATTCTCCCAGTTATGAGATCAGTAGTGTAATAAATCGAATATAACATTCAATCATTTGTCCAACAACAGGGTTTAGCTCTGACCACGTCTGATCACGCAATCACTACCACGTTATCACACACCACCGTGCGATCACGCGATTACGTGCTTTTGGCTCGTAACCACTTAGAAAGAACATGAACGCGAAGTCACTGCCGCTTTATACATCACTGTATCCATACCAAGGGAATTGAAGACTGTCTTGAAAGCAAGGGTGTGGTGTGCCTTTGTATCTCCTGCTTCGCGCTCGTCTCGCACGCTCGCTTCTTATGCGCTCACTCCTCGTGCGTCCTCTTCTAGCGCGCTCATTTGAAATTTTTCCGAAAGTAAAAATTTGCAATGGCCGATTTCATCTGAAGTCGATATTTCGTTTCTTTCCATAGATTATTTTTGCCCTTTCTGGTCTCTTGGTATATGCGTTAGACTGCCCTGACAATATGTACCAGAGCGGTTCGCTCTGTTGCAAGTACTGTCCGGTAGGAACATATATGACAAAGACCTGCAACGTGAGCAAAGGAAATTCTTTTTGTGAATCATGCCCGGTTAGTATGTTTTATTTGTTGTTGTTGTTATTGAAAAACATATTGCAGATATTTTTAGCTTTGTCAAATTTTAGCTGATGTTATTATGCGTTGTCAATCGTTTGCTACGATCGGCGGCAAAATTCTTAGAACTGTCCAATCTTTTTGTTGTTGTTTCTAATGCTGCTGTTGTTGTTGTTGTTGTTGTTGTTGTTGTTGTTTTTCCGGCGAAGTAGTGTTGATGCACGCCTCTCCCTTCCCAGCCTCCAGACAATTTTAAGTTGACTCTTGAATTTTATCCAAGTTACTTGGGGTTGCATTTTGGCATCGCTTTGTTGTTGAGGGAGAATGGGGGGTGGGGGAAGGGGGGGGGGTCCCCAGGATTGCTATACACATAGAGCCCGTCCTGGGAGGTTTTTTATTCATCTCCCTAAGTATTCTCGTTATATTGTAGATTTATAAATCATACCATAATTGTTGGCGTCTCTAAGATCAATAACTCTTGTGTTGAATTTCGTTGGCGCTCAAATTGTTCACCAAATTTCTGTGTTGGCTCATGAGCAATGATTTACGCATCATGGGGTAATGTGCGGATGACTTCCGGTAAATATGCGAATGACTTCCGGTCCATCCTTTGTGTGATAGATACGTAATGTCTGCCCCCGAGGGAAACGGCTGATTTTTTGCAGAGGCTCTCAAGGTTTCCCGTGTCCTAGCTCCAAAAGCTACATTTCACACACAAAAAAAGACAAAAACAAAAAAACCCAAAAAATCAACCAGTTATGGTAGAGTAAAAACTCTTTTTAGAGTTGTCTCCTCTCAACTTCAGCTTTCCGACGAAATCGTCACAACACGTTGACTTAGTCTTAGTTCCCAGGATAATTTCGAAGAGGATGTATGGAACGAAGAAAGGACGTTTTGACTATCCACTAGCGCGATTTGAAGTATTAAATCGTTTGTTGTACAAACGCTGTTGCATGAAACCGAATCGTAGCTTGATTAGCAGAGGGATAAACAAGGTCATTTTTTTTCTCGATCATTTTTCAGAGTGAAACGTTCATGGATAAGCAGAACAACAACAGCAAGTGTAAGCAGTGTCAGAAATGCCCACCGTCCCAGACGGCCATACGGCATTGCAAGCCAATTCACGATAGGGAATGTAGATGCCCCCCCGGAACGTACCACGATAAAGAAGTCTTGATTTGCTTAGAATGTCTGAAATGTAACGTAGGCTACGGGGCGGTGTCACCCTGCACAAATATAAGTAACACGGAATGTCAGCCCTGTCGGGAGGTACGTGTAACAAAACTCAATAATTTGTCCACAGTGAAACAGTTATTTTGTTTCCCGAGGCGGAGATGAACATTTACCGGTAACAGTGCACTGTTACCCGCCTATGCAACAGATTTTGCGATATTTCCTGCTCAGAGATTGCCCCTTGCGGTGAATAAGGACTAATCCTTGACCCTTCCACTCCCAAGATCTCATGAGTAATTCTCCTTACTGTCTGTCATACAATTATTATGACGTTAGGTCGGAGAATTTGATATTGGATCAACTAGTAATCCCCTAATTGGTATTTTTCTTTATTCTCTTTATTCTCATCACTTTTATGCTTGATATTGTATTGATATTGTTGGGAGAAATTCTCTCTCGATCACTCATGGAAGGTAGAGGGTTAAGCATATAACTTCCTGATATTTTTTTCCTCTTATGCAACCAAGGGAACATTTTCTGATCGCGTCAGTCACGAACAGGAATGTTTGAATTGCTCACAGTGTGATCCAGGCGCAGTGATTAAGGAAGAATGCACAGCAACAAGGGACACAATCTGCCAGAGAGCGAACAATTCACGGATTTCTACTGTTTCCCAAGTTGTCACTTCGGGTATGTTTTTACGTGTCACGAAAATTACTATGAAAAATTGAAATCAATTTCAATATCTCAGCGACTGTGCACCTACCCGTCCCCTAACCCAACAGTAACCCTAACTTGTTTCCCTTTAACTGTTGTCGAGTTAAGGGGGGGGGGGCAGGTGCGCGTACTTTTTCGTTATATCATCACTCTTGTTCGGACCTAGCTTGTTCACTGTCATGATATCCAATAACTGACCAATATCCAGCTATCTTGACCTCACGTTGGGTCAGTAACGCAGATATATACTTAAGCTTTATTTTAATCATTTGCAGTCTCTCGAGCGCCTTCGGCACCAACCAATGCTGGACGTTCATTAAGCCCCGTAGAGAAAGTAACATCTAACTCCATAAGGTATATCATTGGCATCGTTGTCGCTGTAGTGCTCCTCGTTCTAATTGTTGTGGCTTTTTACTGTTACTGGAGGAAACAAAATCGGCATGAAGGAAACCAGGCTCATAACCCTCAAGGTAAGAAAAAAAAATATTTTTTTTGAGGTCAGATCGTCAGGCTAAGCGAAGTCTCATAAAGGATTGCTATTAGTAAACATTAGGGCTCTTATGCTAAACAGAACGGCGACAATAACGAGAAAGTTGCGAATCAAACGATTTACTGAGGAGGAAAATAGCACCCCACGTGTTTTTTAAAACACGTTATAGATTTCCTAATTCTCATCTGCCTAGCAACAAAGTGAAAACGACAAATTTTGCGTGGTCCGCGAACGAGAATCCTGACAGCAAATATTTTGCTTGTTTACCTGTTACTCATTGACACCGAAACATATTAAAGAGGAGATCGCTATTTAAAACTGTTGGACGTGACGATGTTGACAGAATGCTAATTTGAGTTCTGCTTCCTTATTGACTGAGAGGATGACGCAAGTTTTCTCGACCAAACGCTTTGCGAAACCACGAAGAAACAATGCAATCCCTTGTTTTCGTCTCTGTGGAATATAACTCTGAATGAATTTTAATCCTAAGAAAATGCCATGAAAACTTGCAGCAACGCGTAGCTGGTGAAGTATTCTAAATGATGGACAGTTATTCAATTCTGGCTCGAAGTTTACCGATAGAAGCCGCCCACACACTCATTTACGTGCACCACGCGATCTCTGCTAAATAAATCACGTTTTCCAGAATAGTTGACAGTCAACAACGTTGAAAACTGGACTAAAGCTATATTAGAATGTCTTTCTTCTTTCCTCTGGCTGTTATCCTGAGAGGGACTGAGAGACAGAATCTTTAACAAATTCGCTGTTGATGTTGTAATTGTTTTAGAAATGGAGGAAGCGAAATATGACTTTGTGCCGCCGACTTCATCGGAGACACCAGCTCACGCGCGATCCTCGTACGGACTTCGAGGAAGGCGGACGGCCTGCTCCACGAGACCAAATAGTCATCAACGAGATTCTGACTCTCAGGGCAGTAGTGGCTCGTTACAGGGCGTCAGCGTAGGCAACGGAAAAAGTAAGTATGTCTTAAATGGGAAAGAGTTTGTTCTGCATTCAAAGTAATCCTGAGGGAGTTAGAAGAGGCGCTCTTAGCCGCATGACACTTTCGTGACAATTCGTTCTCCGTGTGGTGTGACATTTTTGAACGGGACGATATTTAGTTGATTATTTTCCATAGTTCAAATCTTTTTTTATCAAAGGCTTGTTGCTATTTAGCATTTCCTGTAATCCTATTCGTGATCGAAGTAATTTCCATACTTTGCATTAGTTCTAACTGAATATTACAATGTGTGAGAAACTTAAGAATTGTTGAAGAACACCTGGGCATGAGGTCATGAGAATTCTGAAACTTATCGGGTAGATTTTTCTATCCCCATCTTACACCAAATTCTCAAAACTAATAACAAGGAAATCTGTTACAGCTAGAGGGAAGAATTGACAATAGGATTTTGGGAGTTAAAGGATTAAAACTTACCTTCACCACTAAACACTGCAATTCTCTGAGGCGGGGCGAGGAATAAAAACTGCTTCATTGAGCAACAGCAAAAATTGAATTATGCCCCGGCCACAACTCCACCGATTACAAAAAAATGACGATCTCTTGGTGTTTAGTTTAATGAGAAAACATGAGAAACCAAGGTGAAGATTAAAACTCCTTAACTTCGAACGTGTACCGCTGACCTGCGGAGTGGTGCCAACCTTCGGATTTTCGAAGTGAAAGTCGTTTTTTTTATTTGAACTCCACGCTAGAGACTGGACCTTTTGTCATTTATTGATTTTTAACGGAAACGAACCTTAACCCTTCCAAGGCGAAGGCTAACCGTAGCATGTCTCACCCCTCTCCCCCTGAAGTCTGCAAATTACCTAAGCTAATCTCATAACTGTATGGGCACCTGCGACCTCTCCTCAGACCTCCCGTATCTACCAGCAAAATGGTACTTTTTGTAAGTATCAGAATATGATAATAATATTTTTGATTTCTCTACCACAGGTAAAACGTTGGTTCGGGACCTTCCCGCTCATGTTTTCATCGAACTTGGAAAGTTTTTAAACCCCAAGTCAAGCAAAAACTGGGTGACACTTGCGGGATACCTCGAGTTTACTACGAATGAGATAAAAAACTTTGAACTTGAGGTCAACGAGGCTACTCAAAACGTGCTTTATCAATGGGGACAAAAAGATAGTTCCACCGTGGATTTCCTTATCAATGTATTGAAGAAAATGAAGAGGGATGACTGCGTGCAAGTTCTTAAGCAGTGGGATAATTGATGAAGCAGAAGGAACTGTACGTGAAAGCGAGGAGAAAAGGCGTTTCTCTCAGGTAGTCGCCCGAAGGTGGAGCTCTCTACTATCAAGATGGATTAAGCGGAAAACTTGAGTTGGACAATGTTAAATGGACGCAGAGTCTTGGATCGTGAATGAAAGGTTATTAAGTCGTTTGTTTTGTTCGTGTTGTAATTAAGGTAGGTGTTGTTGTTCCTTTTTTTTCCATGAGCGGTTTCCGATGGTGTAAAAGATGTCTGTGCGCGAGAAGAAGTCACAAAGCGAAACTTTAACACGAGCGCCTCCCCGCCGACGCGGGTGGTAAAATCTTTTAAGGCCGATTTACGCCGTACGACTTTGTCGCGTGCAACAAGCCCACGACAGGCCTACGAAACGAATTATTTCGTCTAAATCAAACCTGCAACTCGCTTACGACTGTCGCATACGTCTCAAAAATGTCGTAGGATTTTAAAACATGTTCTGAAAAACATTTTTTAACCGCTGCGACAACCGTAGCCGAAATCGATGAATATGAATTATATTGTGAAAAATTTCTACTGAGTAGGGGGAGGAAAGTGAAGTTTTCTTGCATCATAATCACGGACGAAGTTGCTGCTGTTCGTTAGTTGTCGAATACAGAGCAAAATTAGCTGTCGAATACAAAGCGAAGATAACTCTTTCAGAAGAGGAGGCAGAAATTAATTTCGCTCAGGAGTGAAGAAGAATTCCTTTTCGAAAGCCGGCAAGTTTTTGTGAGAGGGAGAGGAATTTTACGCGATTTTGGCTTGTGCAGGTGCTAATGGCCCCAAGGGAGTATGCAGTGTTGCAAGCTTGTTGCATGCATCATAGTTGCACCGTGTAAATCGGCCGTTATAAGTAGCAGTAGAGCACTGGTAACCGGCTTTTATTTCGACCCATTATGAAATTAAGGTCATGTTTTATTGGGATCAAGGCTTTCAGTTTGGCTGAGTTGTTTGAAGGTTTTGGCCTTTTTCTTGTAGGCATCAACCAAAAAGAAAGAAAGTTAAGAGAAAAAATGTGGGAAATAAAAAACACCAGTGGCAACCGCTGTCACATTTGGTGCCTTAACACTTTAAACCCTAAGAGTGACTAGCATCTAATTTCTCCCCGCAATATCACTTACGGATCATGCATTAAGGTCATGAGAATATAGCAAATGATTACCAACTGGAGAAGCTCTTGATTGTTAAACAGTTTCTCCTTGTCGGCACTTGAAGAAATGTATAGAGAACAGTATGGAGAATATGCATAATGATGTAAAGGTGCAAAGGGTTAACCCTTTCACTCCCCAGATCTCATTAGTAATTCTCCTTTCTGTCTGCCATACAAATCTGTCTGCCATACAAATCTTATGATGTTAGTTTGGATAATTTGTTTTTGGATCAACTGATAATCCCCTGATTGATATTTCTCTTCCATTCTTATCGCTTGTCTGCTTGTTATTGTATTGATATTGTAAGGAGAAATTCCTTCTTGGTCACTTATGGGAGTTGAAGGATTAATTCGGCTGGTTTATCGTCACATCAGTTTCAGTCACCACAGCATCTTATTCTCAAAGTTGAGTCAGAAGAGCGCGACATGACGATCACGGTCGCCATTTGTCCTCCTTCAACTCGTCAACGCGGAGAAGTCTGGTAATGAGTGGATTGCCTCGTTTCAAACAAAAATGGTTGATTAAGTGTTCTAACGCTTATATTTAGAAAAAATTTGGTTTCAGTTAAAGCGTTTGATTCCCATGACACACGACCTTATTGTATGCAAGAGAAGGCCAAAGAGCGAAGGGGGTGGGGTGGGGGAAGACGTGAGGCAGAAATAAGAGAAAAAATGGCGCCTTACGAAGAGATGAGACAATTTTCATTCACATTGAGCAAGATACCTGCTCATCTTTTTCACGGGCCTTAGATCTGCAGTTTGCTGAATAAAATGTCATGGCAGTGAAAAGACTAGAACATTAATGATGTAGGATAGATATATATATATAGTATTCAAAGTTGTTACGGTTCAGAAATTTTTTCTTGATCAAGCGTACGTTTCTCCTTGGTAAGGCGGCACATCAATTTATTTGTCTATCAAAAGAGTAAATTTCTTCTTAGACTCTTTGTGTTTAAGATGAATGAAGCACAACAGGTTTTTAATAATGTTGGCACAGTTTTTTGACGTCACTACGGGACGTGATATTTCCTAAATTTGTGTTTCATGGAATATTTCGACATTTGACGACATTTGTTTCTTTACCATTGGATGTCGGAAAATTAAGCCTAAGCTTTGCATATTGCGAATTCGAATTCGTTTAATTGCGTTGAAGTTGTATAGGGGACACTGACGTTCTGTCTAGGTGGTGATTTGATTTTGAAATCAAACCATAACAATTTCGTTCTTAGGCTCTCTCTACTCATTTGGTTGAGGTTCTGGGAACGAAAGTGTGACAGTGCCGGTGGGAATTGACAAATGCCTTTGTAAGGAAAACCGTATGTTTGTTCAAGAAAAATGCAGTTGTATATAAAAAGAATTACAGTTTATACTGTAGTTGGTAATGTAGATATACATACGCTGTATGCATGCGATTCGCCTTCGAAATATCATGTCAGTCACTTTAAAACACTAAAGTTCGTGTCTATGCGAAAGGCTCTAAAAAACACGGATCTAAGTAAAACATGCATGTGCGTCTCACTAACCGAGTTTGAGGTTTGTACTTGAGTTACGGACCAAGTTTTTTCTGTTCAGATTTATGGCCCAATGCAAGGAAGATCAAAGTGCGCGTGCTATAAATCCGAGGAAAAAACGAGTTTCTGTAACTTACAGGAAGGACCTGGAAAACGAGGTTTTAGTACGATATTTATCATATCTCTGGGTTCAAACATAGAGGAAAGATTTCAATTCATGCAGACATTTGAATTTAGCGGGCCGTGTAGTGAAAAACGGCCTGCCTAAATTGACCAATCATAACGCACGTACGAACAAAGTTATATGATAAAATAATTTATGCCATGCTATGCAATTCGCGATCGCCTATCACAAAATTGAACAGTGTAGGTCAAAAGAGTTTGAGATATAAATGATAATGAAGACAACGTAGAGATCAAGCAAGTTTTTTAATACAGAACCAGTCATTAGTTATCGCCTGGGGGGGGGGGTAAATGATCACATGGTTTTGAGGGAACATGGGGAATCAGTCGTCGCCGACAGAATTTAAAGGGGGGGGACTATAGAGAATGTGGAACCAGTTAACTGACATAGTAGAAAAAGGGGGGTATGATAAGAATCTTACAGAGCCTTAGGGGGGAGATCAAGTGAATTTTATAGGGACAGAACAAAAATCTCCCCTCCTCCACTCCCAGGCCATAAATAATGTCCGGTCAATAAGAATGTTCTATTGAAAGTGGTAAGAATTGAAATTAAAATGAAAATAGGGACTAATTAGGACAAAAAATGAAACCAGTTTTAAGGTAATGGAAAAGAGAGTCATAGTTATAGATGTAAAGTTCCAAAGGACGTTTATTTTTGTACAGCGAATTCGGAGTGTAATATGTGGTTGCATAAAAAAAGGACGTATGAATATTTTTGGTGGATCGATGAATCTTTTGTAAAAGAACTTTGTTTAATGTTTGATTCTTGACTGAGAGAGAGGTTTTTGAAGAGAGTACCTTTTTATTCATATGACAGTGGTTTGAAATTTCAAGTAAATAAAAGTCAGACAAAATGACACCAAGTATTCTGATTGTTATGACAAGAGAACACAACTTTTTCACTCAATCCTCCCGCGCTCTGACTGCACAATGTCTGTCGCTCGTTTGCGTTTTCATCTCATGTTGGGTGTCTAGGTAAAAATATATCTTCCACTGTAACAATTCTATAGGGACGGCGGAGCTTGGGGACGTAGGGGGGGGGAGGAGGAGGAGGGGGGGGGACTAAACAAAAGTCTGCTTTAGTAAAGGTACGTACCAAAAATAAAGGAGAAAGGAAAAGAAAACGAAGCCTGTCAATCAAAGCGATCAGTCAAATCGCGACAAGCCCGAACACGCCAGTGACTCAAAAGCAAATTTCATTTGATTTGGTTTTATCAGATGAACTATTTAATATAACTTGGCCACCGCAAAGAGTTTCTAAGCTAACATTTGGAATGTTAGCCCGCGAGTACTAACGCTCAAAATGTCTTCTTTAGAAACTTTTACGGTGGCCAATTCACATTTTCAATTCAGTTAATAAAACCAAATAATCTTTTATATCCCCCACTGACGCAGCACCACAGTTTCTTTGGAAACTTGCTCCCGCTCCTCGAGTCATTCGCGGGATGATAGCATATATACCCCTTTCTGTAAACTTGACTTCCACTCAAGGGTGTATCAGGGGTTTGGCGCATGCGTGTGTGTGTGTGTGGAGGGGAAGGGGGAGGGGGATGTTGGAAGGAGAATGTGCACATCCCTTTGTAAACTTCACTTCCCTCAAGGTTACATGAAGGGTTTGATGACGGTGGGAGAGAGGTAGCAAGAATTTTGAACCCCTCTTTCTAAAATTGACCTCCCCTCTTGGGTGCATGATGGGGAAGAGGGGGGAGAGGGACGTAAGGAGTGTGCGGAAAATTGATAGTTTTAGGGTAGGACTCCTCCTCCTGCCCTTTTGATTAATTCATGATCTTTTTTTCATTATACATGGATAGCTTTTCAGACATGCACAACTTAAGCTTAGTGTCTCTTCTCTTCTTAAAGTGCCTATGAGAAGGACTGTCTTTTTTGCGTATTTATTTAGCTTATCATATATTCAAACCATTTCCGATAGAAGTAAAATTTCAAAAAAATGAAAATCGGTTTTTTCGGGCCCTAAAGTGCTCTTAGTTTGTCCTTAAAGTGTCCGGTAGACTGGTAACGATTTAGCCGGCGATAACGTAGAAAAGTGTGAACATTCTTGGTTGTCACTTACAAATCTCTTAGATCTCTTGCCATTTTGTATCAGTCAGCTGTGAAAAACTCTTGAAATGATGCTTGATAAGTATGTCTATCTACCTTCAGCAAGCGCTTAGAGAGTTGTGATACATCGTACTCAAGTAGTAAACTGAAGAGAAAAGACAGTTGCAAGTACGGTTCAGAAGAACTGTGTGCATCAAACAAAGATTTAGACCAAGACTGAAAAAAGGACAAAGACGATTTCTCACTTGCGGTGTCAAGGTCAAGATTAGAACAAAACACTCCTGTTACTAAATTTTAAGTTCTATGGCAAGAATGGGAAGCTGTGTTCTTTTCTGTTGCCCGAACAAATTATTCTTTCGTATTAGGTGCGGCAAAGGTTCGCCTTGCATGGTCAGTGCTCTTGGGTTTCGTTGCTGTTTGGCAAACCAAAAGCTTACTTTTGACGGCAGCATCGAAAGAATCAGATGAATCACGAAGCACGCACGATAATTTTCACCGAAAAGTCATCGATTGGTTTTACTGTAAGTTGCTCCTTTCCTGTAAAGGTAGAGGCTATCGTCGTCGAGCCGTTTAAATGAAAACGAGTGAGTTTATATTCATCAATAAGACTTTTAATAGAGAAAGACCTCTTTAGTTTGAGTGCAGCATTGCCACGTGACCCATTTCACTCACTGGCAAATAACTGCGGACATCAGTGTTGTAAATGAATATTTCGTATGCACTGACTTTCATACAGCACTCGGATTCGCTAATATCAAATTCAATAGTATTTGTGTTTTACAATTCGTCGCGTTGCAGTGCTGTTATCACGATGACATTGCTATTTTTGCTACTTTTAGTTTCTTGAGGGCATAGGGGAATTGATGGCTCGTGGGATAGATTTTCGGAAACCCAGGTGGGTAGAACGCGTGTGAAATAAGCAACATTGAGAAGCTCACAATTCTTCGCTTGCGTAATGTCAGCCGAAAAGAATGTGGTATAATCGTGTCCGACGTGGAAGAGGCCCCTTAATCAGCATTCTTTTTTTAGGTGAATTCACTGGCAATCTAAGTTCCCCTGATTTGACCAGTGGTATGTGTTCGTGACAGCCGTCTTCGAAGTCGAAACGGACACAACGGAGCATAGGGCCGGCGACTTTAAAGAGTAAAATCTCCTCTACGACGACGATGGAAACGCTTCCATTTTGGCCATACAGCTACATCCTTTGGAAAGTAGTATATAGAAATACCCAGTGTAGGTCTATCATTCTTGTAGCTAACATCATTTGGCGCTCCGTTCACGAAATCCGTTCGTCGTCGTAGGCACTTTATATCTCTTCCATCAATTCTTTTTCCTTACTGTTTTAAGGCTGGTTAGCCTGTGGTTCAGAGCCGGGTTTTGATTCACTCTTCCCTCATTCTTTTTTCTTGCTTTTCCCACTCCTACCTATCTCTCAGAAATAAACAACCGAGGAGGGGAGGGGGTGGGGAAAGTTTGAACACCTGGGTAACCTGTTGCTATAGTCAATGTCCTTTCTCTCTTTCTCTTTCCTTTCTCATTTTTAACTCGTGTAAAAGAGTTTTTATGAAGACTCAGATATGCAAATGAGTCACTCACTCACTAAGATGTAGACACTGGTAATTAGTCGTCCCGAACTCGCTCGAGCACGAAACCACATTGGAGTAGTAACCGCACGTGACGTTAGTAAGGCTTTGTTACATATTAAGCATCGTTGCTTTAGACATAATCTTGCAAGTGAAAAAATTTTATCGAGTTCAGGCACAAACCCACTACTGTGAATCGCTTCGCTTGTTTATGATCTGATGTCAAACATGAACCGTGATTAAATTCAATTATCTTATGAAAACTGTGCATTGGCGACTGAATCGGTCGGAAGCGGACGAAAATAATCCTGTGCTTTTCTGACAAAAGAAAACGTGTGGAATTCACTACCGCATATGTTTATTTCCAATCAGACAAAAATATTGTGATCGCCTAAAATGCCTTCTGAGGTAATTTGTTCCGAGGCAGAAAACTTAAAGAGTTTTGTCATCAGATGCACGCGGGAGTCAACTCTTTAACTCCCATGAGTAACCAAGACAGAATTTCTCCTTACAATATCCATACAATATCAACCAGATATGTGATGAGAATAAAGAGAAATATCAATTTAGGGATAATTAATTGATTCAATACTAAATTCTCTGAACTAACATTACAAGAATTCTATGGTTGACAGTAGGAGAACTACAAATTTGATCTGGGAGTTAGAGGATTAAGGCTGTAAACAAAGACTGTTGCGCTGCAATTCAACCATTTCTTGAGCAGCTGAGGCGGAACGTGACATGTAAATGAGAATAATAAAATTTGGCTTGTGCAGGCGAAGAAAGACTTGGATTGCAGCGTCTAAATTTGACAAATTTTGCGAACAGAAATTCGATAAACGCAGGATACTATTTTGTGCTGTTTCTAAAGACTATATATGCGTTTATTTCTCAGCGGAGTTGATGGTTACCATGCTCGGCTTTTGAGATAAGAGCAACCTTGCATTGCTGCAAGAAATATAATTACAGGTTCACAGCCATGTTTCATCCCTAGATGAAGAACTCTATGCACGAGGTGGCCATAGGTATTTTCTGATTTCAGTTAGCAAGACAAGTCACTCTTTCACCCAGTTTTTCTGTGTAAGCAGATTAAAACCCACCCCCTAAAACATCCAAATTGCATCGACCATGGGTCAGTTTACAAGAAATATCAAACGTAATAAGGGAATTGAAGAAAGGAAGCAGCAGGCTAAGGAGCATCGTAATCAAACGGACTTTCTGGATGAACGCAAAAAAAGTATACGCATCAACAAAAAATAGAGGAGAAAAACTGAAATTCTACTGAAAATACCTTTATTTATATCAGTTACGTCTTAAGAAATAAATAAATGGTTCAAGTAAACATACCTTTACAAAATTAAAAAATGTCTTGTAACAACGTTTCTAAAAAAATGTTCACTTCGAAAAATAGATTGTTCTTCACAGCCTACAACAAAGCCTCATGTAGGCATCATAAAGAGTCTTACCATACAACATGGCTACAACTCTATTAATTAACTCTTTGTACCCTAAGAATTGTCAACTTCAAATTTCTCACAGGACTTAAAAGTGTCAGCACATTATCACACTAAAGTAAGTTTATGAGAATCAAGTAACTGATCACCAAAGAATAATTACTCTAACCTTAAACCAATTATGGCAGTCCCTCTAGAAAATATATATATATGAGCAGAATTTATTACTAAAGACAAAAATATTACATCCGATTTTCAACTACAACAAAATCCGAGGCAGTCCAATGTTTCCAAATTATCCTCGCGCGGATAATCTGGTGGTTTACACGCACGCGCGTTACAGATGAAGCAAAGTTTCTTTTAACAGCTTTATCCATTAAACGTGACAAGGTAAAAGTTGTGTAGATAAGATTGTAATGAAGTGTAACGGTCTCTTGACTAAACGTACACGCTTTTATAAAAGCTCTTACAAAAGTAAATAATCGTGGCAAACAGATGCTACGTAACTCTTATACTAATACTGATATCGATAAATGGAAGCTACTGTACATTTACCCTGTTCAAGGTCAGAGTCATTAATCGCTGCTTATTCCTGACGAAAACGCTTCTTAAAGTTGGTCATAAGGCAAGGTAGCCATGTCCTAGAAGGGTTCAATTTATTGCAAGTATTGTCACATGAGGATGACACTCCTACGTAACACCCAGAGCAGCAGCACTATCATCACCAATTTTATTATCACTCAAATCCAACGTTGTCAGCGATTTGTTATATTTCAAACACTCACACAGAGCAGCAGCAACATCATCATCAATTCCATTACCACTCAAATACAACGTTGTCAGCGATTTGTTATATTTCAAACACTCACCCAGAGCAGCAGCACCATCATCACCAATTTCATTACAACTCAAATCCAACGTTGTCAGCGATTTGTTATATTTCAAACACTCACCCAGAGCAGCAGCACCATCATCATTAATTAGAGTAAGTTTCAAATTCAACGTTGTCAGCGATTTGTTATATTTCAAACACTCACCCAGAGCAGCAGCACCATCATTATCAATTCCATTACGACTCAAATCCAACGTTGTCAGCGATTTGTTATATTTCAAACACTCACCCAGAGCAGCAGCACCATCATCCTAAATTCCAGTAGCACTCAAATCCAACGTTGTCAGCGATTTGTTATATTTCAAACACTCACCCAGAGCAGCAGCAACATCATCATCAATTCCATTACCAATCAAATCCAACGTTGTCAGCGATTTGTTATATTTCAAACACTCACCCAGAGCAGCAGCACCATCATCACCAATTTTATTATGACTCAAATCCAACGTTGTCAGCGATTTGTTATATTTCAAACACTCACCCAGAGCAGCAGCACCATCATCATTAATTAGAGTTAGTTTCAAATTCAACGTTGTCAGCGATTTGTTATATTTCAAACACTCACCCAGAGCAGCAGCACCATCATTATCAATTCCATTACGACTCAAATCCAACGTTGTCAGCGATTTGTTATATTTCAAACACTCACCCAGAGCAGCAGCACCATCATCATTAATTAGAGTATGTTTCAAATTCAACGTTGTCAGCGATTTGTTATATTTCAAACACTCACCCAGAGCAGCAGCACCATCATCATCAATTCCATTACCACTCAAATACAACGTTGTCAGCGATTTGTTATATTTCAAACACTCACTCAGAGCAGCAGCACCATCATCCTCAATTCCAGTAGCAATCAAATACAACGTTGTCAGCGATTTGTTATATTTCAAACACTCACCCAGAGCAGCAGCACCATCATTATCAATTCCATTACCACTCAAATCCAACGTTGTCAGCGATTTGTTATATTTCAAACACTCACCCAGAGCAGCAGCACCATCATCCTCAATTCCAGTAGCTCTCAATTCCAACGTTGTCAGCGATTTGTTATATTTCAAACACTCACCCAGAGCAGCAGCACCATCATCCTCAATTCCAGTAGCACCCAAATCCAACGTTGTCAGCGATTTGTTATATTTCAAACACTCACCCAGAGCAGCAGCATCATCATCACCAATTACATCACCAATAAATTTCAACGTTTCCAGCGATGCATTATATTTCAAACACTCTGCAAGAGGGGCAACCCCATCTTGCGAAAGTGTATTCAATGTTAATTTTGTCACAGTTGTATTTGTTTTCAGAAAGTTGCTTAAAAAGACAGCTAGAGTTTCATCCACTTTTACTCTTGAAACTTTAACAGTTTCAGTTTGAAGAGAAGCGCAAAGAGCGGTAGCCAATTTTACATCAACATTTTTGTTCTTCTCTTTGCATTCATTAACACACTCTAATATAACGTCCACGTCTTCCTCTTCTTCCTGGTTTAATTGTGTTGCTATGCTTTTCAGAAGGTTCACCACTGTTTCCTCGCATCGTGCTGCTAGCATACCAAATGTAAACAGAAGCACTTCTTTCAGTTGATGGCGATATTTTTGGCCAGCAGCTATGCTGTTCGTACTGATTTCTTTCTGGATAAGCTGACAACTAAGATAGAAGGCTGCGAAGAATTCTTGGAAAGTCTTGTGAAGAAAGCTATAACGTCTAGTTGGTCTTAGTTTACTGCCTCCAGGCTGAACTGACAGAAATCCAAATCCAGGTAAATCGCTTGCTTTGTGTTTTCCAAGCTCCTTCTCGTCAAAATCCAAGTTGTCTTCAAGTAAACCTTTCAAAGCTATCGAACCAAGGTGTTTCAATTGGCTTTCGTAAAGGTCAACAAGGTCTTCACCGTTTTCTGCTAGTTGCCGCTTTGTTCTGTACCTTCTTAGTATACACTCCACTATTTCCATGTACAGCTTCGTTCTGCTCTCAGGAAATATACCTTTCAAATCTTCATAGACCAGGCAAAGAAGCGCAGTGTTGAGAGGATTCGTCAATATTTCATATAACTTGCGATCAATATACAGGTGTGCGATAAGCTGCTTGGCCAAGTTTGGTTCGGCTTTGAAGTACTTTCTGATGAAGGATTGTACATCTTCTTTAGTAAATCCCTCAACTTCTAACAGCGTGTCGCAGTATTTTCGAACTTTGACTCCAGCTTCGTGTCGTGCCGTTGCAACCACGCGACAGTTTGGCAGTACTCGGCCTTGAATAATTTCTGAAAACATAGGTAGCTTCTTCTCAGAAACTTCATCCAATCCATCGAGTATCAGAAGAACATTAGATTGATTGTGGCGAATGAATTCGAAGAATCTCTCGCGTTCGTCTTCACCAACTTCTCGAGGCAGAATTTGATCTTCAATGGCCTCCCAAAGGCCAGACTCAACATCACGACATTTGATCAAAAGCGCTATTACGAAGTTTGTGAAGCAATTTCCGGTTGCGCGTTTTCCTGTGGCCCAGTCGAAAACAACTTTCTTACAGTAAGTGGTCTTTCCCATACCAGGCTTCCCTTCAATTAACACTACTCTTGGTTCTTCACATTCTTCGTGCCGGTTGAAGATTTCAGACATCGTGACAACTCGATCTGTTGGTGTTCCTCTTGTCTTCTTTCTGTAGATGACTTTAAGTCTGGTGTAGATTTTGTCAAAGGAGAAGTGGAAGTCTTCACACCAGGGAAACGGTGCCAGCCAACCTTCCCGATTTTTGTAGTGTTGAAGAATGTTATTAATAATTTCAGTTGGGTCAAATCCATCTGAAAAAGAATCGGCTATTACTTTTAGAGGGATTCTTAGCGATACACCATACAACGCCATGACTCTCGGAAAGGTAAGTAATTACTGGATGATGTTGAGCATGATATCGTGAACGAAGTTTAAGAATTCATTATAGCATGTAAGAACAGAATCAATAATTGTTTTATTATATATTTTTTTAACATAACTGCAAAATAAAACATCTCTGCCTGTGTGCAAAAGTTTGAGAACACTGCACGGAGGAGGGGCTTGGAAACTACGCAGACTTTGAACTCGACCTGATGAATATCCGGTGCAGATAAGTTATCATGTCAATTTTATACGCTACTTCTTAAGGGACCCAGCTCACCATACAGTCTCTGTGTTGCTTAGTGGTCCAAGAACATGGATCAAATCACTTCAGATCACTTTGGTAGATGTCATAAGCCTCTGAATTTTTCATATTTTGGTTGTGTTAGTTAAACCACGCTAACTATAGAATACAGGCCAGTTCGCCTGGCTCATGGAGTAAATTGTTATTCATCATTACATCACTCAATTCAATCACATGTTTTTTTTGTTCCACCACCTTGATCATCAACTGAGACCTTGTTAAACCCACTGGAATGTAAACTCAAAATAAGGGTAACTTAATTTCCTATTTGAGAACCATTACTGGATCAATCACCTTGATTTATAATCCATTCCAGAATATGCGATGGGAACTTAGATCTAAGTCAGACCTATCCATGTAAAAAGAGGAGATTGAGACAGAAAGCAATACCTGCATGAAAGTGAGGCCAATCTTGGAATATGGCTGGATCATTCAAAATGTTGGCCACAACAGATGCTGCCATCACACAAGCAATTTGTTTCCATTTCTTACTTGAAGACTGCACTTCATCCGCAAAGTCTTTGATGCCCTTGACTACCACCCATTCTGTCTTAAAATCATGAGCTGCTGTATACACTCCTGAAAAAAAAATCATTCATGTCTGTTAACTATATATCAAGCTTATTTTCTTAGCATCCTTAAAATAATTGTTCAATCAAAACTAAAAAAGATTCACACTCTAGCCTTTCTGTAAACATGCAAATCGCAGAAAGACGTTAGTTAGTTCCGAAATCTAATTTTTTCAACCGTTAATTAACAAAAAATTGTACACTGAGACTGTAAAATTATTCTTCGGGGCCCAGTTGTTCAAAGGCCGATTAGCGCAAACCCAGGGTTAAATTTTAATCCAGGTTTCTATATTTCTATGTTCAAAAGCCGTTTGGAATAATTTTACCCATTGTTTTTAGAGCATTCAATTATCGAATTGTAGCAAAAAAGAAATAAACTGAATTGGCTCTTCAAGCTTTCAGATCTTAAATCAGATTTCACACTTACCCCAGGTTATCTTAACCCAGCTCTGAACAATTCGGCCCAGGCTTCACCTTGTTTCATAAGTAAATTTCAACATTTCTCAAAAGACAAACTTCTGTCAGATAGAGTTAACCCTTTCACTCCTAAGATCTCATTGGTAATTCTCTTTAACCCTTTATCTCCCGTGAGTGACCAAGTGAGAATTTCTCCTTACTACATCCATACAATATCATGCAGACGAGTGATGAGAATAAAGAAAAATGTCAATTATGGGATTACTACTTTATCTGATACCAAATTCTCCAAACTAACATAATGAGAATCATTTCGCAGACAGTAAAGAGAATTTCCAGTGAGATCTTGGGAGTTAATGGGTTAACGTCTGTTATACAAGTCCTATGATGTAAGTTAGGAGAATTTGGTTTTGGATCAACCAATAATCCCCTAATTGACCTGTTTTCCTTTTCCCATCACTTATCTGCTTGGTATCATGTTGATACTGTAAGGAGAAATTCTATCTTGGTCACTCATGGGAGTTTAAGTATTAACAGGGACTGTGATACTATTCCTCAACTCTCAAACTATTCAACAAAATACTTTCTACATTTTTCAGATGACAAATGTAAGACAATTCACAACACCCTGAAGGAGCACACTCAATTTAGCCAGAAGAAGTATTCAGTCACCTTCACCTGCAAAAAAATATTCCTACCCCAGCCAAACACAAAATCACTATTATTATCCAATATATAATATTCCTGCAAATTTGGCATGCTATATGGTACATGCTATTTCTTGAACCAGCAGAGACAATACCAGAGCAGTGTTTTTCAAAACACTTCCTTCGACTGCAAAAGTGCTTGGCTCATCAATTATTTGAATTATTATGATTCTCACCTCCACCTTCCATTTCAACTGCGATGGCTTCAGGATATTTCCTAATCATGTCTCTGTTTGCCTCAGAGATACTCAGAACCACCCCATCACAGTGCACTTTGGCATTATATTCATCAGCATTATGTAAAGGTGCCTTCCACCCATCAGCCACATGTTTGATCAGGTTACCAATATCTCTGCTGGGGGGAGTTTTGAGTGCAGCTGTTATAAGCTTTGCTGAAAGAACCACATCTCCTAACTTGACCTTTTTGCTGTTCAAACCACTGCAGGCACCGACAGAAAAAATAACCTTGGGTCTCAGTAGCAATATGGCATCTTTTGAAACAGACAAAGAACCCCCAGGAGCATCCAGACCTTTGGAGCACCTCATCAATGCGATTTTCATTTTCTTTCCTTGATCATCACCCATGAACCCAAAGTACACAGGGCCAGTACTGATGTGGTAACTCTTAAAGGGTTTCTTCAGGTAGGCAAAGCAGCTTAAGAACTCACAGTCTTCAACTGTTAATAAAAGAATATCAACAGGAAGTTCAACAGTTTCCCAAGGATTAAAGGTTGTTGGAAGATCACTCAACTCCGGAAGTTTCACACTGAGCTCTGGCGGGCTGCTATTGCCAGTCTGTGCTGATGTATTTTCCCCTGGCATTATTACTGTCTCTGAAAAAGAAGGTTGTAGTTTTTTTTTTAACATTTATATGTGACAATTAAATAGCTTAACCCAAATGGAAATCAAAAGATAGGAAAGATGAAGATGAAAAAGCAAATTATGGATACAGTTGATGTATCAAGGGAATAAAGATTCACAACTTCAATTACACATAGTTGTGACTTTTAAAGAAAAATCTGCACAAAATTCATTTCATCTAACAATCTAGTATGACTTACTGTACATTATTGACTCTACAAAGTTAGTTTAAAACTCAGGTTTAAAAAAAAAAAATTACACACACCCCTCTCCCATGAATTTTGTTCAGAAATGTCAGAGGAATCCTCCATGTCCCCTCCTTTCCTGGCCTTTTCCACAATTTTGTCTTCATGCCATTTGTCTGTGATACAGTCATCATCTTTGAACCACTCTCTCAGAAGCTCTCGGTAGTGTTCTTCAAGATCAGCATCCATAAAATAGAATGTAGGATCATCTATGACTTCCCCATAGCAGGTCCCTCCAATGCGCAGAAAGGTGTCTTTGATGCTGTTCCAGTACAAACTAAAAGTTGGATCATCAACTGAAGCATTAGCAGCATGACTGAAAACTCTGTCCCTGAAAAACTTGATGCAAGTGATGTCAGCTGCCAGAGAGGTGTCTGATCCTGGAGGAAGGTTATTCCAGCCAGAGGCAGGGAGAGTCAGACCCCAGATATTCTTCAGAAGACATAACAGTAAGCAGGTGTCAAAGTCCTTTGAGGAAACTGAAGATTTGGAAGTAGGATACAGTTTCTCCCACTGGGAAGTATGCAGGACTCTCTTCTTTCGCAGTGATTGCAGTTTGGCATGGTTTGTGGGATCAGTCAGAACTGCATGGAGGTTTCCTGGTGGACATACCCGGTCAAAGATCTCCCTTAGCACAAGTGATCCAACTTCAACAAGAAGGCAACAGAGCTGAGCATAATTTAAGCTCTCTTTAGCAGAAGGATGCAATGGGGTGGCAGAAGCCATGAAATCAAGTCCTCTGTAAATAAATGCTTGTAATTAATACATGGAAGGCAACAAAAAAATTATTACTTTATTCTAACTTTGCAACACCAGAATATTACAGCACTCCAAAATGAGTTAAATATCACGCAACAGATCAATAGAATAAGTTTGAGGCATCTTCCATTTTAACCCTTTAACCTCTAAGAGCTGTGATTGGCTTCTAATTTCTCCTTAAAGTATCAACCTTGAATCAAATGTATGGGTCACAAGAATAAAGGAGATCATCTAAAATTTAAAAATTTCCTGATTCTCATATCACACTTTATCTATTTTCTCATATTCAATATACAAAATATTCCTTCAACCTGCAGATGGCAGATGCTAATCCAGGCGGGGCAATTAAACACTTAAGGTTACTGTCAACAAAATAGGGTGTCTTCTGGAAAAATTGTCCTACTCATGCTACCATTAAAGAAACTGTAATAAACAGAGATCTTCAGTAGATCATGGCTAGTTTAATTAAAGATAAAGTCAAAAGGTATGGGGTATAGCCGCAAACGCTAATCACTCGTATTACAAACTTCACTAGAACAAACTTGACACATTGTTGAATACGGTAACTGAAAATGACAAAATTACAAACACGGGAATGAGCATAAAATAACTTACATCGTATGAGTGAAAGTACTGGAAAACGACAAAGCGAAATAAACAAGGATACTTACAAGACGAATGTGACCAAACCAAAGACGAAAACATGAAACCCAGAGCTAGATATGTAACGATAATTTTCACAAACTAGACAACTAACCAAAAAGCCTTCGAAATGCACACCTTGCGAATTGAATTTGAAGCTTCACGCGTTGTTGCGGTTCATCAAGCTTGGCCAATTTTGTCTGTGCATTCTTCTATCTGGCGATATTGCCGTCAATCCAGGGCCTAATAATCTTCAACCACCTGCAGGCTTCAGAGGTTTATCAGTCTGCCACTGGAACATCCAACGACTGACTGACACCAAATTGGAAGAACTATCGCTAATGCTCACCTCGAATAACAACAGTGCTGCTAAACTCGACGTCTTAATTCTCACTGAGACGTTCGGATCAAGTAAAATTCCAAACAGCTATTACATGATACCCGGCTACACATTACACAGAAAAGATCGAATCGGGAAGAAAGGTGGCGGCATATTTGCGTATGTAAATGAGAAAGTTATGGCTTTACGTCGAAGAGATTTGGAACTGGATGATCTTGAAACTCTCTGGCTTCAAATTTGTCCTCATAAATCAAAGAGACCGATTTTGATATCTGGTGTTTACCGTCCACCTTCAGCCAACAAAGATTATAATGAGAGCTTGGGTAAAAATATTGAAAATGCCCATCTCCAAAACAATGAATTGATTATTCTGGGAGACTTTAATTTGGATTATATTGATTTCAACTGTTATTCAAAACATTGTCTCGCAAAGGCACTGAACAGTCTTGGACTAACGCAGATGGTAAATGGGGTAACAAGACCTGCCTCTGATGCGTGCTTAGACCATATTTATTCTAGTCATCCTGCTAGAATTAGAGAAGTATCCATAGGTAAATCTGGACTTTCCGATCACCTTCCGGTCACCATCTTGAGGTGCTACAAAACCATGGATGCACAACGTAAACAACATTCCAAAATCAAATACAGAAATATCGACAAAATCAACAAAGAGTGCTTTCTGCGAGACCTCAGAGAAGCCCCTTGGGATATCTCCTTTGTTTTTCGAGATGCCGATGACATTGTTGAATCTTGGTACAAAATCTTTAATGACATTCTTGATAATCACGCACCTTTAAAGTCCAAGAGTGTGAAGAAAATCAATCAGCCAAAATGGTTCACTAATGATCTATACAACGAAATAAATAAACGCGATAATCTTCTAAAGAGGGCCAGGAGAACACAAAATAAGCAAGATTGGTCTGCTTTTAAACTGGTTAAAAACAAAGTGACGAGGAAAATAAGAAATGCGAAGGAACAGTTCTTTAAAACTCAGTTCAGTAAAAATCAAAAATGTCCAAAGAAACTTTGGTCTTTAATTAAAGACCTATCTAAAGATACAAAGAATAACGACGACTCCGTCCCTATTGCTGACGAAAACAACAACTTGATAAAGGATGACCATTCAATCGCTGAACGCTTTAACCGCTTCTTCGTTGATGTATATAAACGTCTCATAAAGTCGACACCTGTACTTCATTATGATGCTCTTCCTGGTCCACCAGACAAATCTAACAGTCAAATTGAAAATCTTATTCCGCAAATAACTCCTAGTGAGGTTAACGATTATCTTCTAAGTATACCTACACACAAAGCCACGGGAATCGATGGGCTTGGTGCCAGAGTTCTAAGGATTGCAGCTCCTGAAATATCATGCTCCATAGCTAAAATTATAAATCACTGTATTGAAACTTGTACATTTCCCTCACAATGGAAAATAGCAAAGGTTAAACCTCTTTTCAAGAATCAAGGAAACAAGCAAGATATTCAAAACTATCGTCCTATTAGCATTTTGCCTATTCTTTCTAAAGTCTTTGAAAGACACATCTTCAATGCTGTGAACACCTACTTAACAGAAAATTCACTTTTATACCGCTTCCAATCAGGGTTCCGTAAAACCACTCCACGGATACTGCTTTGTTGTTTCTTCTGGACCAAGTCCTTCTTGACCTTGATAAGAACAACGTCAGCGGCTTAGTTTTTGTGGACTATAGCAAGGCATTCGACTTGATCAATCATGACATTCTCCTGATAAAGTTAAGATCATATAGATTTCCAGATAATGTTGTAAAGCTATTGCAGAGCTATCTACTCAATCGCAAACAGTGTGTTACTGTAAATAACTCGACTTCGTCACAACTTACGCTAACCAATGGAGTTCCTCAAGGTAGCATATTAGGACCTCTACTGTTTTTAATTTTCGTCAATGATCTTCCTGAAGCTGTTGGATCGGACTCAACTATTCATGCTTACGCGGATGACACCACATTTAAAGCCAGCGCTAATATCGATAATGCACCTTTGGAATTGGAACGACGTCTTCAAGAATACATGGATAAATTAAGTAAATGGTCTAGCGAAAATGGGATGGTCCTAAACGCCGTTAAAACCAATGCATTACTTATCACCGGAAAGAGGCTACATTCATCATTAGCGGAAGGCAATCACCTGTCAATAACCCTTGATGGGGCCGAAATAGAACAAGTAACTTCTTATAAATTGCTTGGTGTAACACTCGATCAAGATCTTACATTTAGCGACCACATTTCTAGTCTAAAGGCCAAGCTTTCTCAGCGTATTGGTTTATTGAAGAAGATAAAGAGGTACCTTCCAATAAAAGAAAGACTCTTATACTATAACGCCTTGATTAAACCCGTCCTTATGTATGGGAGCATGGTTTGGAATATCTGCGACGCTAAAGAACTCCACTGTCTCCTAAGGTTACAGAAAAGGGCTGCCCGAGTAATCCTTGGAGTTGACTCTTATTCTAGAAGTGTTATAAACTTTAGTAAACTAGGCTGGTTGCCTTTTTTTTTTGATGAAATCAAACTAAATAAGTGTACAATGATTTTTAAGAGCCTTAAAGGCGATGTTCCGATTTACATCAGAGACTTGCTCAAGACGAACAGTTCTGTACACAATAGGTCTACTAGACATGGCAATTTAAATTTAGTGTGTCCCAAATACCTAAGAAATAACGATGGTGGCAAGGCATTCAGTGTTGACGCAGTTAAGTTATGGAACAGCCTTCCCCATAATATCAAAAAATAAGCCTAGTATAAAACTATTCAAAACAGCTGTGAAAAAGTATTTTATAAGCTCATATAGAAACCTGGACAACTTTGAAACAATATTAAGCAATAGCACATTATCTAATTTTAATTTTTTATAAATTAATTTTATCTTTCTGAATATTTTTAATATATCCTGCTATTTCTATCATAGAATTTTGTAATTATTTGTATATTTATCTATTTATTAGTATTATTTTGTAATGCTGTATAATCTAATTAGAGGGCCACAGGTTTGTCAGCTTTTCAGCTGTTACGTGTCCCCCTCTATAAATAAAGTCCTTATTATTATTATTATTATAAATAAATTACGCACAACCAACATATATACAATATGCAAATAAATATAACAAGTACAAAACTGGTAACTGACAAAGGACACTAATGAAGACGAGAAAATAAACACCTAACACGAAACTATGAAACACCAACACCAACAAAAAATGATAATACAAATTCTTGCGCCTACACGAGGGAAACTTACATGTGCTCTGTTGCACAATATTTGATATCTGTTTACTTGATGCTAAACATATGATTTGATTAAAACAGAAACCTTAGAAAAACATACAGTATAAAAGCTTATAAAGTACAGATTGTGGAAATAACAAAACTTTTCACAGTTTTTGTTTGTTTTAGTAGGCACATGTAAGCATTTAAATGCAACATTGATGGTGTTTGCTATGCTGAATTACTAACCTCTGTGTTACTCCAGACCTTGAAACAAACTGGACAGTATAACTCAGCAGATAATGGGCTAACAAAGAGTGTCAGGCAATTTCGATATTCCTATTGGTTACTGAGAAAATCTATTGTGAGGTCGGATTTCCCTTGATGTCAAACTCCAGTAAATTACAGGAGAAATATTTCAAATTTCGTTAAAGCCTTATGCACTTCTGTGTGATAATATCTGAGGAACATTCGAGCCAATTTTCATGAACCCATTCACATACCCTATTAATGTGGAGGTAACTTGTGTAATAACAAACCTCGAGTTTTTGGCCTCCAAAGAAATTCAGAGTTTTCTTGCCTCCTTTTCAAAAGTGTGTGTCAATGCAGTCATGCCACTGACCAATAAAACACAACATGGAACCCCCTAGCAAGCCTCCTGACAAAGAACTTCTTTGAAATTTGCAGGAAAGGTCATTTTGTCAAAATGGGAACACGAGTTAAACAAAATCCAAAATTCATCAAGC